ATTTCAAACTCCCCCCCCCCCTTTCTCTCCCTCTCTCTCTCTCTCTCTCTCTCTCTCTCTCTCTCTCTCTCTCTCTCTCCCCCCCCCCCTTTTTTTCGGGGGAGGGAGTGTCACAGCTTCAGGTGCCAAGCATAGAGTTATCTACGGTGCCATGTTACTTGTTCCAGCTGTTTAAGTTTAATCATGCACGGTAAGAAAAAAATAACTGTGCAACACCAACATATAATTTTTTCACAACAAAAAGAGGAAAAGCATATTAAACATCTATCAAAACTCCTACCTTATTACTTTTTTTTTTTAGGCATTTCCCTTGATAGGGTTGTTAGAGCAACTGCTTCCTGTCAAACCTACAAAACAGCTTTTACAAAGGCAGCAAATTCTTCTTATACGTCACTTCTTGCCGTCACTACTTATTAGCTTACAACAAAATCCAACCGACACAATATCGCTTTTACATTCCGAAGCGTGTTAAATCACTGTTTTGAAAAGCATGTTACTAAAAAGTATTCAGGTTACTAAAGGAACAAAAATTTCTGTCAGTTCTTTCACATCTTCATTCTAACCGTCAACGCCCTGTACATCTCTAATCCACTCCTCCGTATCTCAACAATCCAGCCTCAGCGTATTTCTTGAAGTCGGACTTTCCCCAGTAAGTGTAGACCTAACTTTTAACAAATTATTTCTAAGGTTTTAGATTCCCCCTCCATACAACCGCAACAAGAGAGCTGTCAAAGCGCATCCAAATCTCATCCGACACACAAAAAGCGATTAGCAGAAGCTTGACCACACAAGCCAGACGGCGTGAAGAGGAGACAAAAAGCAAAACAATGAAAAAGGTACCCTGTCGTTTACACAGACAGCCCTTCCTTGTCTCGTAAGCCTATTGAGTCCGTCTTATTACACTGCCAGCAGCTGAGGAGTCGACAGTCTCATAGAAAAAGAGAAATTACAAAAAGTGGAAATAGTTTGTCGTTCTGTCGTTGTTGGATTTTTTTTCTGAGATCACGGCACACGTCATATTGAACAGGTATACGCACAAGGAGACAATTATTTTAAATGTTATTTAAGTTGTAAAACGTGAAAAATACTACTTCAACATTACGTAGGCTTACGTCAAGTATTAACCAAAAAATACTGAAATATTTAACCTTATTCCATTTAGAAACCACAGAAACCACAAACGAGCCTCTATATTTTTTAAAAACTCATCTCAACAGAGTAATTCGAATATAAAAATATATAACAATCAGCACAATGACTATCTACGTATTTTCATTCAAACCCAAGTAATGTGTGTCACCAGTAGCCTTCATATCAAGCTTTCCATCATCTTACTTATTTTTGTGGGCTAGGGGATTTTGAGGCGTATCAGTCAAACCGACGTAATGTGCGCCATCAGAGTAGGAAGATCTCGCTTTCCGTCTTTGTAATTTACTTATTTCTGTGGGCTAAGGATATCGTACTTCACAAAAGCACAGAGGCGTGCAGAGCAGGGAGATGAGAACGTCGATTAGACCACACGACCCGTCGAAACGAGATGTATTTTTTTGGCCATGGCTCCGATCGTTAAGTAGCCCACTGCCTCAATGTTATGCCAAGGGCGAGGAGCGTTTGTAAAGTGGGGAATGTCAGGTCGGGATTTTTTATTCTATTTTTTTGGGGGGAAGGGGTATTTCTTTGTTTAAGTTTAGGGATGTTGTAACGTGGGAGACGGTCGTTGGCTAAATCTTTTCAGTATCCGGTCACGGTATTTGTCATCGTCTTATCTCCTTTTTTTCTGTCTGTCTGTCTGTCTGTCTGTCTGTCTGTCTGTCTGTCTGTCTGTCTGTCTGTCTGTCTGTCTGTCTGTT